AGACAGTTATGTCGCGTCACATGGTCTACGACGGACGTACTCAGGTAGTCACCGACCTCACTAGCCCCCAACTCCCTCCTACCTACCACTCACTGCCTACCTCCGTAATACACCCACATTACCCACTAATTCTTCTACAGGAACCAAACCCATGCTACCATTCGCGCAATTGCCACACACTTCGCTCGTTCTTATTTCCATTTTTCACCCCTCCTTTTCTTCTCCTTCCCTTCTTTTCCCTTTCCTCCTCCCTTATTGCCGTCACTTTTTCTTCTTTCTTCTCTTTTTCCCTTTTTTTCTTCTCTCTTCATTCTTTTGCCACTACCTTACTATTCTGTTCCAGGTACCTACAGAGATGGGGGTCACGGCAGTTCACCAAACTTCCTAGCAACCCGTAGCTCCCCAATCACTCTACAAATTACAACTTACCCAAAAAGCATCCACCTAACCGAAACTCAAAGCGAGAAAGTAGAGGGGACTTCTTCGTCCACTTCAAGAGTGAACACAACAACTCGAACTAAGCCCTAAGAACTAGACGCGAGAGATGAAAAACTGTCAGTTTTCTACGCTCCTTAGACAATCACACGCTTCCACAAGAGTGGAAAAGTTCTATTCTGTCCCCCATCTTCAAAGGTGGAGACAGGCAGAACCCAAAATGTTACCTACCCATAGCCCTCCTACTAGTGGTGTCAAAAGTAATGAAGAGTCTGGTATACGACCATCTCAGGGAGTACTTAGAAAAGAGGGGACCACTTAGCGATGCACAACATGGTTTCAGAAAGGGTAGGTCCTGTGCCACAAACATTCTGGCGGCAGGTGATAAGTGGACGGCATACTGGGACCTCCAAATTCCTGTCCATGTTATTTTTCTGGATTTTAAAAAGGCCTTCGATACAGTTCCATACACCGTTCTTATTCACAAAATAGAAAGGTTGGGCACCAAAAGACAAGTGCCTTCACGGTTGCAGGACTATCTAGACGGTAGACAATTCTGCACAAAGGCTCGACTTGGAGGACATCATCATCTGGTGTATCGCAAGGGGCAATTCTGGGTCCCCTGCTATTCCTTCTTTTTGTGAATGACTTCCCACTGAATCTCAGCTCCCCAGTTCTACTTTACGCTGATGATGTTAAGCTATGAAGAGCTGTGATGTCAGAAACAGAATCAAGTGCAATGCAAAGTGATCTCAGATTACTCGCAGAGTGGGTGGACATTAGTGGGCTCGTATTTAACTAAGATAAATGCCCAGCCATGTTTCTCCACACCCGAGACCCTCAGAAGGTACCCTAATCTCTCTGTGGAACGCAACTCTCCCACATCACCACAGAGAAAGACCTAGGACTGATACTAACTGACAAACTAGACACCAGCCCCAATTATCCAGGAGTTGCCTCCAGAGCCTACGCAGCACTGCCCTTCATGCGCAAGCAACTGGGTGCCCTGACCCTGGAACTCTTTTTAAAGCTGCATAAGACCTATATACAACCCCACCTAGAGGTACACAATGTCATTGCACCACCACATCAGAAAAGAGACATGAACCTCCTGGAGAAAGTCCAAAGGCGAGTTACAAGGGGTGTCGTGGGAATGAGGCAAAAACCATATCAAAACAGGCTGGAAGATCTAGGAATCTTCGCCCTAAGCCACTGTAGATTACTTGGTGACTTGATAACGGCTTATAAAATATTAAGTGACCCAAGTCATCCGAACAGTGGAATCCTACCGAACGATCCAAGAAGGATCGCCCACCGAAGAGCGAAAACCCGTGTGTGATCACACTTCTTCTCCTTGCGAGTTTGCGGCCACTGGAACGCATTGTCTGCTGAGATTGCTACTGCTCCGTCTGCTGACAGCTTCAAGAAGAAGTTGGACAGCTACGCAGCGACGCACGGTTTGCGCTCATCCAACTGGGATGTGAACTAGGCTGACACGACTTACTAACTCGGTACAACCAACCGTTACTGAACACTTAGTAAAACCACTATCACTGAGAACTTGGCTTGACTTCATACCTTCCTGTAGACATCCCCTCCAGTTACCGTTTCACACTGAATGAATTACTATATTCCCATTCTTCCCATAATGTTATTTATTCTTCTTACTTCTGACTCTACGTTCTTGAACTTTAACAAAAGCTCTCCCTATCCCCTATTCCCCATGAACCTACCAATGTTTTATTCTTCTGTGCCTTTTCCTTTTTCCACTCCTTTTTTATACATTATGCTTCCTTTTTTCTTTTTCTTCTCCTATTTTGTCTCTCTGCACACATTTTTCATCTCCTTCTTACAACCAGTCCGACCAATTGTCTGCTGGCACGACATTTGAGGAACCCATCTGCACCACAGTCCTCGGAAGAAAACGCAAACAAACAAACAACACTCCCTACAAATCTAAGCAATACCCAACCACCTGTCGTGTTAATTGGAGCTACAGCAATCGAGTGGATGGACCTACTGCATTGGAATCCACCAAAGACCTAGAACCGTTCCGCAAGACCTAGAAGCGAGCCTGAAGGAATCAATTGGTTTACACTAACTCGTTAAAAGATATTGGATATTGGATGCTGAAAATTCGAATATTGAAGGTCACAAAGGAGATTCCGGAATCTTAGGACTTGTAAGTTGTTGTCTTCTTTTATGTGTTAATTACGGGTTTGAATAGGATAAGAGACACTATCATTTATTTTTAAAATAAGCTGTGGCTTGTCTGTTGAAATAAATCAGCTTTCCTACTTGGTGTTTTCTGATTGTACTAGAAATTATCATCTATCAGCGCTAATTGGAAAAAGTTTAAGCTCACATTACTATGCGCAGTATCTTCTTTAAAAAAATGAGATAGTTTCATTGGAAAACTCTAAAGTCCCAGAGTTCATCCATCATTCTAAAAGTCACTGTGGCAACAGCAAATATTTAGTGTTTTCGCTACATGTAGCAAAAATACAGTAATCTTTGTAATCATTGTTTTTGTTAAGTTGACCTTTTAAGTATATGCGTTTCCATGTTGGAATAATTATTTCGACGTTTTTTAGTATAGTTTAAGCCACATCACAGAATGCACATTTAGTTAACCAACTAAGTGTACGTAAGATTATCCGTACGTATTACAAAAAATGACTGAAAACCCCGTAAATGCTACACAGTTACCGTGCACCTAGCTTTATGCTATGACCAAAGTATTCGAAGTGACATGAAGTAAATAATGACTGACTTCAGAAAAAGGCTGTATGTCATAAATACATTTCATGTACACTCATATTTGCAATGCACTTTTACTGAAAAAGTGTAGGATTACATATTCAACACTCACTGGAACAGATGCGTTCATCATGGACAGACACAGAATCTTGCACATGTTCATTTATCCAGGTTGCCATAGTAGTGCACAAAGAATAGGTGGATAGAAAAGGAGTGATATCAAAATAGACAGTTGTATGAGAGAACAAAAAATCTCCAAATGAAGGTTAGTGCAATTATTCAAGCTGCACGACCCAGACCGACAATCAGAGACTTCATTGACTGGTACCACGTCTTGGTATGACCATCTTGAACCCTCTTCCAACCCGATCTAACACCCTCTCGCACGGCATGTCCAAGTAGGTGGTGGCTCCGCATGTGCAGTACATTTCCAAGCCATCTCAATCGACTTAAGTTCACAATCTCACCAGTCGATTTGCCTGTCTTGCTTAGTACCCTTCGCCTGACCTCAACAGTGCTCACATGGTAACTGTATCAAACGTGAGCAATGTGGGGAAAACACTTATGATCAAAACCCAGTAGTCGCTTCATATCTTCTAAGTTTAACAGCCATGTCAGAAGCCGCTCCATTCTGGCTGATGCAACTTCCCAAGTAAGTGAAAGGGTTGACACATTCCACCACTGCACTCTCTATCATTAAACTCTGACTGCTTGCAGCAGATCAGTCTTGGAGCATCATTTTACATTTGGCAGGTGCGAAACACATGGCAAACACCCAGACTTCTGCTCAATGTGACCAGAAGACCCTACGCTTTGTCAGCGAATTCACCCAGCAGGAAAATATCGTCCGAATACTCCAAGTCAACCAGATAACCTCCAGTTCCTTTGAAGTCAGAGGAACGCAGGGTCATGTCCATTAGTACATGTATGATGAACTTAAATAGGAGCAGTTACAGCAGGTATCCCTGGCAGACACCACTGGTTTTCATCAGTTCAGATGTCAACTTTCTATTAGCCTCTCTACAGCTGTGTGAGTTCAATTAGAGAGGAGTGGTTATCGTTACATACTTGCGTAGTACTTTGTTCACAGTCAGACACTGCCACAACGTCTATCGACGGAGTCAAATGCTGCTATAAACTACCTAGCACTTCCGTCACTTTAGTTAGCAATTTCGTATACCCATCCTTGAAAACCTCGATTGGCAAACTGTCAGGTCATGGCGCTTTACATCTTTCAGGTTTTAAATAGCCTCCTGAACTTCCAGAAGAGTTGAAAGGCCAACATCTAAATCCTATTCAGGTTGTTCAAGCTGGATGTGGTGCAACTGAAGGGTTGCTGATGGCCAGTTGAACTGTGCTCCAAAGTATTCTGCACAACTTTCTAGCCGTCTGTCCTGGGAGGTCATAACTGTCTCGTCTCTTTCGGTGATGGTTTCATTAATCATCGTCTTCTCGCCTAAATAGTTGCCAAGTGTTACCCAACGCTGATGCCTTCTACGTCTCTCTCGCTTTCGTCACCCACCACTCGTCGCGATCGACACAAAGACTCTTGGTCGACTTACGTTTAAGTTGCTTTAGCTTTTCATTATGGTTAGAGCCCACTGGAATCAATCTTCTTGCATCGGATGGTGGCGCGGACATTCATTGACATTTGCTAACCTTCGAATGTGGATTACCAACTGTTTTTTTGCTTTTTATACAGCGGACTTAATATCACACCAGGTCTTTCCAGAATGAGCATTGCTGTCATGTCCAGATAAATGCTTGGCTAATTCATCGGTTAATGCGTACTTCCCGTCCTCATCTTCCAATTGCATGTTTCCTGCGACCAGTAAGGCCCAGACATACATGAACCTGTACCGGCGCGTAATCGGAGTTCAAATTAGTACTCCAGAAAGACCGGGAATTCTCCAACGATAGCTGACAGCAGTATGATTTGTCTGTGTTCATCATTGGTTTGATATCGGTAAACGCCATGTAAGACAGTGGCTGTGCTTAAACCTAAAGTTATTTCTGGCCCGAAACAAGTGATCATCAGAGCGAAATTGCAACAGGCGATCACCTCTATCGGTTCATTGACATGGGATTCCGTAAATATCTTCCAGATGGCTTTCCGATTGACTCAGCTTCCCTAATTCTTCGTAAGTCACCTACCATTATGACTACATCTGACCATTTTGTTTTCTGTAGCGAAATTGACTTTTTATAGAATTCATCCTTCGCATCATCCGAAATGCAATCGCTGGGTGCGTGGGCGGAGGTTTCGAATACTCATCGGTTGGTCACGATCATTCCTAGTCCTTACAGATCCACTCTGTCGAACAGCAAATAGATGGCTGTTTATTGGTATCCAGTTAAGAAGCTCACTCTTCACCATGCAGCTCAGTGCTATGTCTACTTCAATGAGTCCATGACGGTTAGCCACTGGGTCTTCAGATGCTCTTAAGGTGAATTATCATGATTCACTACTATTACCAGGTGCAGTCAGTTTGGTAAAAATACTCAGGTCTTGTATACGTGTCTCGGAGACACAGCGCACATCCATGGCTAGAGATTCTAGAGTTTTGGCAAGCGATGTTTGCTGTTTGATTTGGCGTAGAGTTCGAACGTCAAACACTCCTACATGAAGTTGGTTGCGGGGTCTTAGGAGACTAGGAATGGGGTTTCGATGACTTTGTTCGTTGACACTGGTCGCAGAATCATAGGTTAAGTAAGTAGCCTAATATTAGTATCAGGAAATGAAGGCAAAGGAGACATAGTTGAGGAGGATAGATTATGTTTGATTGTGTCTTGTTTACTACTGCGAATGAGCGGGCGATTTACTTTTTGCGGCTTCCCAAACCGTGGAAGACTATTTCTTCTTAAGGTAACTGGAAGAGAAAAAGATTTTTATGACCGCAGAACTCATGGGACATCTGATTGAGGCCTGCTAAACACAGTCTTTAGCGGATTGTTGTTTTCATATTTTATTGTTCTAAAGCCGTACAGACGAAACGCTTATGGCTGACACCGGAAGACCGTGGGGAAGAGAAGGGTATGCAGTTTTTGTGGCGGACCTTTTCTATCTGCCTCCCATTCTTTTAAAAAGGCAGCATCAGCGTGGCACTGCTAATTATCCAAGAGAATCAGCTTACTGCTTTCACCTAGTCTGCTGTACGACTTCGTTCTTGAACCAACATCGTAGTGTAGCAATGTACACTACCCACAGTAACTGTTTTTCGTCTTACACTATCCAGCAGACCTTTCTGGCATGGTAGGACCTTGAGAGACCAAGCGTTCGACCAGCATAGTTCGTTGGGTCATTGTGATATACAAACCAGATTACTACGTCAAGGTAGCAGCCTGGGGTTCACCTTAAGAGACCAAGAACCAAAATCCGGTTCGTTGTCAACCTAACTAATCAGTGAGAAAAGCTGCCGAGCAAACAATCATTGATACGGGAAAGAAGATAAAGAATACTTGATATGATGGATTGGTGTCATGTAATGCACTACTCTTAATCTTTTGCAATCGAAATGCTACAGTGGTAAACGTTGTGTTATTATGTGACTATGCATGTATAGTGTGTTAGCCCCAATCAGCTATTCAGTGCAGGGAACTTCACAAGCTCATCAGTCGACATGAGCTGCTTATCTAGTATTATGCGCTTAACTTGTGCAATGTTCACCCAGTCGTTGCACCACACACGAGAGATGGCGCGAAGTTACAGTGGGGAAATGCATGAAGCCTTGTCGAACCGTCCATTTTCGACAACCATGTTTTACAGTGTAATGAAACACGGTTCATCACTTGCCCTTGACAGGCTTGCGGATGCTCAGAAGGAGATGTGGCACACCAGTAGTTTATGAAGTCTTTGGGGCTGTTGGTGAACCACGTAGGGTGATGTATGCTGTTGGATGTTGGATGGTTCGAGGCGGCAGGAATCAATGGTTGGAGCCTCCAGGTGATATGGGTCATAATTGATTTCAGTGATTCGGACGACATCAACACATTATCTTCACTTTGATCGTCATGTCGCATCTTGCTGTTGTTTTGCCCCCTCTTCCTATATTCGAATGACATTCCACAGCTCTTGATTACTTTTTTACATATTTATCTGTCTTTCGTCGTGGTGCTTCTACATTGATGGGCTGATGCGAGGTGTGAGGCGTGGTATTATGCAGTGTTACGCCGTAGTACCATTATCCTCGACACAGCGCTGATTGGCTGGTTGCCTATTGTAAGGACATGCACGTGGTTAGTGAGTTGTATTTTTTTCTTTTTTTTGATTTTTGGGTTGACAACATCACTCACGCCGACAACTGTTACGTTGGTGTGAGGGGTCATCGTCATCAAAATCAACATAGAAACAAGCATTACTACCACACCTCATATCAGCACATCAAGTAGCAAGGCAACAAAATGGAAGATGACTCAAGGAAAATCGGTCAAAGGAAGTAAAAAGTGGCAAAAAAGAGGAAGGGAAGGGGATAAGAGGATGATGAGACTAAGTATTGCGGTTAAGATGAGGACAATGTGTGTACATATCTGTGCCACTGACATCGATTCTAAGCCATATAACCTAGAGTCTCCAGCTTCTGGTTTCTCTTGTCCTGCGGACCCTAACCTGCTAATCTGCATCGCCCTACATGGCTCACACGAACAATCAAGCATTGAATACATTGATGCCATGTTGTAGTCTGGCCGCCTCGAGTCTTTTTCCAGCGTGAACCTAATTCAACTAACATTGCGTGACAAGGCGAATAGTGACTAGGCATGCGTAACACATATCCCAGCCATCTCAGTCGATGAAGGTTCACAACTGCATCCACTAACTTACCTCTCCTGCCTAAACCTCTACGTCTGACTTCTGCGTTACTCACGTGGTGATGCTGACAAGATTCAGAGTCTTCTAGACGCCTGGAGTTGAAGTCTGAGAATGTTTGGCATACGTTTCTTGCCACCTAAGTGCAAATTGTTGCTCTAGAACTGGTCCTCGACGGTACCCCGACTAACAATAGAGAGTGAAACGGTTGAGCACGTTGAACACTTCACTTACTTGGGAGGTTGGATCAGCGCTGGTGACTCCAGTGGCCGACGAAATCTCTGCACGGGTACAAAAGTATTGGCTGGCTTTTGCCAATTTACCCCATCTGTGGCGCCGCCGCGATATCTGATTGTCTATTAAGGGTCGAGTGTACTGTGCTGCAGTCCATTCTGTTCTACTGTATGGCTGTTAAACATGACCATTATAGGTAGAAGACGTGATAAAGCTCCAGGTGTTTGACCACCGTTACCTTCGTAGCATAGGCCGTGTTTTGTGGTGTCACCACATGAGTAACGCAGAAGTTAGACGTAGAGTTTTAGGCAGGAGGGGTAAGTTAGTTAATGCTGCTATGAACCTTTGTTGACTGAGACTGCTAGGACATATGTCACGTATGCCTAGCCACCGTCTACCTCGTAGCACAATGTTGGCCGAAGTAGGTTCAGGTTAAAAAAGAGGCTCGAGGTGGCCAGACTACAACATGGCGTCAATGTGTTCAATGCTTGGTTGTTCGTGTGAGCCATGTGGGGCGATGCAGATTAGCAGGTTAGGGTCCGCAGGACAAGAGAAACCAGAAGCTGGAGACTCTAGGTTATATGGCTTAGAACCGATGTCAGTGACTCAGGTGTATCTTTACATTATCTTAATCTTAATCGCTATACTGAATTTAGCACTTATCATTCTTCTCTTTTACTGCTTTCTATCAACTCTTTATCTCTTAATTTTTCATCTTGATGCTTTCTTACTTGATGTGCTGATATGAAGTGTGGCAAATTAGACCTTTGCATAGTAATGCCTAGTCTTATGTTGATACTGATTGCCTTCAAACAGTGTACGTATCATTTGCACGTTGTCTTGTTAGTATTAGGTTTTAACAAAAGTTAGTCTGGATGTATATTTGTGTGAATAAAGTTCACTTTGTGAATCTAAAAAGAGGAAAAAACAATCGAATGAGTATAAAAGGGATCCATTTTTTGTCGGTATCTTTTCAGTTGCTTACAATCTAAAATTTCAAAATATTTATTATTGTTGGAAAGTGAAGGAACTGATTTCACTAACCTTCATCTGTTGATTCTTTCTCCTCTCAAGTACTTCTGCCTAGTTTTACATTATTCATCCACCATGCCCTTCGTATGTTGCTGTGAGTTGTGACAACCGCGACTGATGCACTTCTGTGCCGGGTTCTCCATTGATCTATCTCTGCACCTGTGATAATGGTTATAATTTTTTTCATTCGTAACAAACCCTGTCTGTCTAGGCTGTATTTGTCTTTTTCTTCCTTTGTTAGAGCCCTAGCATAATTTGCTAATCGTAAGATATTCGAAAAATGTAAGTAGTGGGTTTTAGTCGAAATTGTGTCTGACTTTTGCCGTTTTTTGTCTCTACTTTCGATGATGCATTTACAGTTTTTCCTGTTTTCGTTCTTTACATTTGTGTATTTGAGTGTCAATTTGCTGTTTCTAACTTCATTTCTTTTTTTTACTACCAAAATTATAGCCCCACCAATGCTGGGAATCTTTGATCTCGATCTGTTGCCCCAAGAACTTCCCCATACAACCATAACATCGTGTCTTTGCAGCGGCGCTGTATTTACTGGTTCTCAACGATCCAAGGGGAAAAAGTATAATGTTGAAGTAACAATACAAGCAAGATGATACCCTCTGATAATTATGACATTTGTTCAGTATGTCGATATGAAACAAAAAATGGTGTATGGTTTCATGAAAATCGAGAATCTTACTCAGGAATATCCCAGTCTAACTACATATTTTGAAGGAGAAATAATAAGTAGATTACATCCGTTTATGACGAGTAAATGGGATGCTACTATGGAAACAGACGTTTTACACTGGGTACTTGTTTAGTTGGTTACCGTTTTACTTTCAGGAGAAAATACCAGCAACAAGTTCCCTGGGGAATTTCCATGTTGACAGTTTCGATTATTCAATTTTAGAAAAATCTGATACAATATTCATGAGGTGGAAAGCAAGTTACATTATAATAATGTAACCTTTCCGCAGGAGAAGTTCATTGTTCCTGATCCGGGGTTAAAACATATAGAAGGTGCATCGTTTGCTGGATTTTACTACATTGGTTTGCAGAAATCTATTGGTCATATTCTAGGTTATTATTACCATCTTAATTCAGAAATGTATGTTTTATGTTTTTTCTTACTTAATCTTCTGGTTTCCTTTAGGTTTCAATCTTTAGAATTGAAATATCAACCAGAATGCACACCATCCATTTTCCAACTCCGTTGAAAGTACATGAGTGAATGTTACCTTGTGAAACAGAAGTGTACAAACTAGTTTTTTTTATCAGCGGGGTTTTCGACCGATCAAATAGCTTATATATATATATATATATATATATATATATATATATATATATATATAAGCGGCTTTATAGACTTATTGAAAAGGAACCCTGTTTAACTGATGTTTTGCTTTACTTCATATAGTACACGGTTCGACTACATAGTCTCCCACCAACACCCAACAATTGTACAGTTTTGAGTGTTTTATGAAGTTTTATAAGCTTTTTAAGTCACTCTACAACAATATAATTGTATTTAATACTGACGTCTTTTAGATAGCAAGAATGGAAATTAAATAGAACTATCCATTGGTTGTCTGCTTTTGAACTTTTCTTCTTGGTTGTTGATTTTTACAAGTTATTAACTAGAGGTAAATGAATGTTTCCCATCTGTAGACTTGCTTTAAACCTGTTGTTTTTGTTATACGCTGAAGGCTTTATCGAATGTAGAAAGATTGATATATGTATAGTGTACCACTTAGCTAGGCTGTAGATAATGTTAACCAAGATTACGTTACATGTAGATGTCTGACTGTATTCTTTACAGTTATGCATATAAGTATAGGCGGTTGTTTTAAAAAAAATTAGTTTATTGTTTTGAACCCAGCTTCGCTTGCCAAAGTTCTGGTAACCGGGTACGCTTATCATCCATCATACTACATATGTGACTGAATGCCTAGTGCAAAAACCTGTACATGGTTGTTAAGGGATATTCGCACATTTTACAAATGCATCACTTTTCATAGTGGCTACGAAGAGAATATGTTCATAACAGGTACAGGTATAGACTGTAGGACCAAAGTAGAATTTTTATGAGACACTAAACTTAGCATTTACAGCCTCTTTCGCTTGCACCTACGTATATATCTACTTCCATGATGGTGGTTTGGTGTTCTCTGAGCTTTGATATTCTGTTGTGAACGTTTCATCGCTAGGCTTAGTGACATCTTCAGCACTAAATTCATAAACAAGTGAAACACAATCGAATATTACACGGACGTTTAGGTAGTGCTTTTTTGGACTCGGATGTTGTCTAATTGTAAGTTGAGATTTTCTTATCACACCCTGACCTTAAATTTCCTTCAGTCACATCATTAGATATTCTTTGTTGAAGTGAAATTATGATATTTGTTGTTGTCAAACTGTGCATCATTATTGACTCGTCTGGTCAATTAGCTCTCGGTTGATGGATGACCGTTTTCCTCCTAAGTAGATTGTGGATTGAGTCTATATTCACATGTCTGTTGATTGACATTTCACTTGAATGCCATGCTTCTAGAAATTCTCTTGCAGCTTTGGAACCTGCTCCTTGGAGGATTTTCACATTCCTCCAGTCGAATTCGTGATAATGATTATCTGCATGTATTGAAACCAAGGAGGCCTTGTCATGTTGTTTTATTGGTATTTGGTTTCGTGAATTTTTGAGCAATTCGACGGCTAGATGGGCCAACACATTACTGTGAACAATTTTCGCAATTGGTTTTGTAGATAATTTATGTCCTGTCTACTTTTTCAACGGATTTTTTGGTTTGTACATGCTGTATAGTGATTTGGTTGGCTTGTGTGCTACTCTGATTCCAAAAGGACGAGGCAACTGGTTGACTGTTCCTGAGGTATCTTTTATGTAGGGTAGTGTAACGTGTTTATGGATTTGAGGCAGTTGCCCTGTCTTTTGTCCTGCTGATAGACACTCTCTGATAAAGTTGAATGGATAGTCATTGGCTTTGGACACTTTTCACAGGTATTTTTCTTTGGCTTACCGTATGATTCAGTGTTGCATTGTGTCTTGGCTTTTGAGAACAATTTTTGGTACACACCATTTATTATGGACTGCAATATGATTACTGTTTTAGTTCAATATTTGATGTATGTGTGGTTTTTCCTGTACACTTGAGTTTTTAAAATCCCGTCATGTGTTCTGCTGATGAGGACACCTAATAAACGACTTTTTTCTCTATGAAGTGAATTCCTTCAAGGGTTTGGTTGATTAGTTTGAACGCGTTATTTATTTCATCTTCCTTTCGAATGCAAAGAGCAGGGTTGTAGTGCTTGGTTGCCAGAACTACTGTGTTGAGGTGGCGAATACGCACTTGCTTCGAAATGTTTTCCTTTACTTTGTAAATGACTTTGAAAGAAGACTTTCGTGGAGCACAATAACTAGAGATAACCAAATGCTTAACGATCGAACTATTGACGGCTTTACACTGTCCTTTAGACAGCCACTAGGTTTAGAACCGTGATCTTATAGTCAGAAAGCCTTCAGTCGTTCTTCAGAAGAATATCCATCGTCTCCTTGGCTAAATTTGAGTCCATTGAAGAGTGAGGTCACATCAGAAGATATCATTCTTTCATCACTACTTATCCTTGAATCCATTATTTCGTCTAGAAATTCAGTTTTTGAGCTGACTGAGTGTTCACTTCTATTGAAGGGATGTTTTAGTTTCGTGTAGAATTCTTTCGATAAGTTGAATTATGGCGTTTCAGGTGGTGAAACTACTGATCGTAGTGGGATGTCTATCTTATGCATCATAGGTCGATCGTAGAACCTCGGTAGGACTGGTCCGTTTGTCTTCATCCAGTATTTTTCTTCTTTTGTGATTCCCCCCGACTTGTTCTAAACTCCTCAGTTTCCTTCGCATCCGGTTGCCCAACTATTTTCCCATTTGATATCTACTTCCACTTAACCGGTAAGGTATTGTTTGATGTGTATTATGACAACTAAACAAACTCACGTGGAGCATTGTCTCCTTTTGTTATTTGAATAACGTGAAAAGTAAACTAGAAGCAATGCTTCCGAAAAATCACTTGATTTTGGTCTCAAAATCTGAAGTATATTTACGTAAACATTTTCGAAATCAAAAATATTAAGCAGTCTGTACACTGTGGAATAAATCAATCATGAATGACAGCCGACTGTTTATTGTTATTAGAGTGAATGTCGACATTCATAAAAGCCTTCGGATTCGTAACTAGAACTCAGGAATAGCGAATAGAGAAAAAGTATGTGAGTTTCACTCATGACTTAGAACATGTCCATCGTTAGTTCAGTGGATATCGTAAAAAATTATACACTTGTGGAGTACGCAACACTATTTTTTACCTGAATGTAACATTTGAACCAAACTGTCTTGTCATAAACTTAGAGTGCTTTATGTCTCCTAAATTGAAGTCACATAATTTAAATATTCTCACTGTGATAATTAGAGAACTGAATTTAAAGCGAATACGTATTTTCGTAAGTTCTCGTCAGACTTTGCAATTGCATTCAGAAGTTGTTCAACATAGTCATTCAATATGAATATGGTTTGTAAATTTCAGGGACATGAAATAGAGGATGACAGTAAAGGCGATCATAACCAAAGCAAGATCTTGCGAAGTTTTTATATAATCTCGGTAGACAATCGTTGTGGGTATGTGTTGAGAAGGAGGGGAATAAAATGATTGTCAGTGAAACTAAGGGCAAAAGGGTGACTCCATAGGCCACCGTACCAGCCACCTTTAAAGTCAATCGAGCAAAATATAAAAGTTGAAATCAAGACTGAGTGTGATGATGATAAGATTACCAACAAAGATCATATTTACGTTTATCCGGGTGAAAGTGAAGGGAATTATTGTAGTTGTATCTGGAATGAAGGTCATGCGAAGGAAAGAAAGCGGTCCAACGTCTGAATAGGTGTGTTTTAAATTGCCATGATTTCTGTGATGCGTATCAATCAGAGGCGCATAAACTCAGAGTATTGTGATTGCACTTTTTAAAGAACGGTAAGTGCTAAGGGGTTTCCATTCTTATGCTCAGGATCTACCAGATGGGTGAGTATTGAGCTTTTGATGGATTTCATTGTTTCTTTGACTAGCCAGTATTCAGAAAAGCGACGATGGACTTCCATGGTCTTTCTATCTATGTAACTTAAATTTATGAATGTGGCCCTACTTGGTCACCCATCCTTCAACTGGATCGGCATCATACAGTGAGTGGTAAATTTTGGACGAAGAAGGTTTTTTCCATCAGATTTCTGAGTTTCAATGTCAGTGTCTCTGCAGTTCCATCTCCTTTGAACGCTAAAGTTAGACATAATTTTTTCTTCGATGCCATCTGAAGGCAGTTTTCTCCAGCTGTTTACATTGTAACAGTCCTTATAAATTTCTCATGATAACCATTCTCATGTAAGGAGTTCTCTATTATTCTTATTTAGTCGTTCAAAATATCAGCTCTTCACATAAGACGGACAAATGATCGGGAATGTGTATACTGAGCGACCCATGACTCCTTACGGAATACACTCCACTTGGTACTGCCATCAGTTCGTCTTGATAGCAAAATATATGGAAATGGCATATATCTGTTTTTCTGTGTTTCACAGGCGAACTCGATGAGCACTGTTGAATGTACCTAAAAGGATGTCGGCATTGGTATCATTTTTGTGCAGAATGAAAGTGTTAATTGACGATATTCAACTGATGGTCTTGAAAAGCACATTGATAACAACTCGATTTTGTTTCGTCATTCTTTTCTATGGCCAACTCGAGTAAATAACTTTGTTTATTAATCGTCTAACATTTAACGATGTGGAAGTCCATCCTACTGTATGAAAGTTAGAGATATTTTTTGAAGAAGTCTGTAATTATTTGATCTTCGATCTTGTCAAAATAGCTCTGACGTGTGGAGACCTGTAACTTGACAATGCCTAAGCTAGGCATAGAATTCTAGTCGGTTAGTTTGAGTCATGCTATGCATTCCAAATCTCTGACCAATTTGTTGCGTTATAAGCATTGTAATCGAGAACGTTGCATGTTTGTGGATATACAGAAAACTATGGACACAGGTTGTATTGTGACCCTTTATTTAAAGTTGGAATTAGAACCTACAGACTTAACAAGCTCCATTTGCTTTGTCTATCTATCAACAGGTACCTTTCAAGACGATGCACTGCTATCAACCACCAAGTTCGGTAGTATAGCAAAATGAAAGGTATTGCAGGCACCTGAAGTTAGCTAGCTGGTTAGGATGAATTAGCTCCCAGTTTTGGTAGCA